TATATAACTTGAAAAAAATTCGCAAGCAATTGTCCATACTGAAAAGGCACCATACAACACAAAAAAACACCGATAAAAAAAACTGAAAAAATTGACTAAATATGAGCCCACTAATAATTTTAACATATTTCACTATAAAAATATCAACATGTATAAAGAATTTATACAATCCGCACAGTCTTGCAATGAGTTGAGATAACTATACATGGAACGATCTTGAATGACGTTGAACCCGAAACAAAAGATTAGAAAAAAGGAGCTAGGTGTGTGCCTGGTTAATTCCCTCCAAAGCCCAAGTTAGTCGGCATAGGAGTCATGAGGGCAATGTATTTTATGGATTTTAATTGTGTACCTTGGTCCAACTTTTTGAGGGATGTTTATACCTAAGTTTGAAATGATGGCAGGGTCTTTGAATCCCATCTTAGAATTTAATGGTCTACTCTCATATCCAAGCATAATAAATGTCATCCCATCAAATCTTCTCAAGACTAGTCCCCCGGGCGAGCGGACCCTTGCTCGGCAACCGCCGAGCATTTATGGCCCAACCCTTGGTCATTAAATACCTCTACTCGGTGTTTGACACCTACGTCCACGCGTTCATTACTTAGGAATGAGGACCTTTGGGGTTCGCCGAAGACATTAAGTCGACGTAATGACATTTAATGTCTTATAATGATGACTGTCTTCACATTTCTTGAGGACATGTTTGCTCATTAATGACTTTGTCACAGTCACTCAAGACTCCATTAATGAGCTATCATATCCCTTTTAATACTAAACTCTGAGGGGCACACTCAGCCCTCTATGTTATAACTCCTTGACGCCTTGCCCAGGCACCCTTTGCGTTCCTTAACTGCTACAACTATCTACGTATTTATTTATTAGTATAAAGCTACCTAATGTCCCATCCACTACCCCTCAGCCTCCATTTTCCTCGCGTCATGGGACAGGTGGCGCATGGAGAGTGGAGGCTTCCTTAGCATGCCTAGATTTTAGGGGCGGTTACCTGTACGTCTAGCACAAAAATTTGCAAGTTACCATTTTTTTTGCTGCAATGTTTAGTTTTGAAATAGATACAACCCATTTGGGTTTAGTTATAATTTTGGTTTTTGTTTATTTTATTATATAGATTTTGATTTAAATTATTGATAAATGTGTTAGTGCAATGACATTAATTTAAGTTATTAGAGTGTGCTTACCGTAGACATTAGAAAAGATGATTGGAAAAATTAGTTGTTGGGCCCACCTTATCAGTTTTCATCCATGTCTATAGGCACTATGTAACACGGGTCTACAGGCACGGGTTATCACAACCAAGCTTCACTGTAAATCAGTTTTCACAATCTTTGCAATTCAATATTCTTTTCTCTAAACTACAATAGACCATCTTTAAATATTTCCCAAACCAATGACATTTGTATGTAGCAAGAAATCAAACTCGAAATGTTTCCCTCTTGATCTCTTCAACCAAAATACGAATCTTATCAACAATTATTTGTGAACAAAATAATGTTGTAGCAGTGCCAAGAAGTAAAAAAAATAAAAGATGAACAACTATCATAACATTAAAGAGCGAGTGGAGTACATTGTTAATTTTGGCTATATTTCAAGAATTCTGCAAGAACTCGTAGCAATGATATTGTAATTTTTAAATCAATCAATCTAGCCTCACTAAAACAGAAACAAAACTAAATATGTCGATAGAGTCATAACTCGATTTTTCCAATGTTCATTACTAAATAATCAATTTCCAAACCTAATATTCAAAGTAGACTTAACAACGAGGGAAAACAGCATTCTGCAACTTGTGCAACCAACAAAATTCGCAACTTAATAATGATAATCTTTTCCTTAATACTTCTGATACTAAAAAAATATAATTGAAAGCAATGACTACATGCAAAAATGTGCAAATATACTCCTAATTTATTATGTCCACATACAGAACAAGCATTGAGATGGACATTGAACTATTAAACACTAATTTTAGTGATAGTAGGTAAATCTGATAGTAAACAAATCAAAAACATAAATAAATCTTTAGTGATAGTAGATAAATTTGAAACAATAGTAAAAATCGTGAATATTAAACAAACTTGGACTATTAGACTATAAAATAAATCTAGACTGCTGTGCAGCGAAATTGAGTAGTAGCGAGAGAGAGAGGATAGCAGCAATCGAAGACGAAATCCTGAGTCAAGAATCGAAATTACCAACATATGATAAAAGAATAATGAAAATTAGTTTTATAGGCAAAGAGGGATGAAACCGAGATGATTGTTGGAATTTTAGGAGTGAAATTTTTTTTGGTGTTTCTTGTTTATAAATTTTTAATTTTCAAAGTAGCTACTTCATTTTTGTTGGATTTTTGTGTGTGCATTATGTTTGTGTGGAGTTTCTGGCATGTGTGTTGTGCATGGGGGCATTTTGTTGAACAAATTGTGTGCGTAGTGTGTATATTCTGAGTGTGTTATGCGTTGTGTATGTCATATGCAGTCAGTGGAGAGAAAGAGAAGTAGAAAGAGAGACGGACAAACAAAGTGAGGGATGAGTAGCAGTGTAAGGGGGATGAGAGGAAATAGAAAAAAAACTAAGATACCTATGCAACTTCTGGGTGTTGAGTAGTGGATGGCGATGGTTGTAGTTTGGCGGTGGTTTCGCTTCGTAGAAAAGGGTAGTGAAAGAGAGCTGGATGGGAGAAAAAGCTGGGTGTGAGAAAGAACTGGGCGTGTGTTGATTAGTGGGTGGCGGTAGCTTTGTTCACAGAAGAGGGCAACGAGAGAGAGCTGGGCATGAGAGATATTTGGAAAGATTTGAGGTGAATATTGAGAGGGATTCCATGAGAGAGATTTTGGGGTTGAGTTTGGAAAGCAGGGGTTTCGAGGAATAGAAAGGGTGAACGTAAGAGAGATTTGGAAAAATTCGAGGAGAGATAGAGGCGCGAGATTAGGGGATTCAGAAGTATTAATTTGGGAATTAGAGGTCTGAAATTTGGGAAGCAAAAATAGAAGATGTGTTGGGCGGGAAAACAAATTTCATTGATCATTTTGATCCGTGGGATCAATGTTGTTTAGTTGATCTGAGCTGAAAAAAATTAGAGATAAAATAGATCATTAGATATAATTTATCTTTTTCAAATTTGTTATAACTAATGAAGATAATAATAAACTTAATATTAAGCAAGTTTTTTTTATAGACTTATCATCAAATAAGTCTACAAGAAGGCCAACTTTCAAATTTCCTAATAAACATCCAGTTGAGCTGATAATATCTTTTTGAGTTGAGTGAGATTGGCTTTTGAAGCCCAATGGACCTTGAATTGAATTAGAGACAAGTAAGGGTGTCCAAGGGCCGGGTAACCCACGAGTCTTGTTACCCGACCCAAAAAAAATAAGCCCAAAACTCGATAGGCCCGATAATTGCCTCATCCGAGCCCGAGCCCGAGCCCGAGCCCAATATATTTAAAAAGAGGGCTTGGGTTTGGCCCCAAACCCATTACCCGCCCCACGAGCCCGCCCGCCCGCAAGCCCAGGCCAATCTACCTTTCATTTGAAAAAAATTTATACTTTTAGACCATTAAATTTAAAATTTTGAAATAAGTTTCCCAATATCGAAATTTGAAGTTTTAAAAATTTAGATATTATAAATAATGTATTATTCTCTTTTTCATGTATTAAACATATAAGTTTTAAATTATAGAATAATACAAATGACAGATAAGTTAGTAGGTGTCAACCTAATTGAGTTTTATTCATTCTAATAGATGTAGTTCATTATTTTATTTTTATTAATATTGACTTTACTTTTGATTCAAAATTATAATTTACACAAATATTAAGTTACAAAAATATTTATAATTTATAAATAAAGATGTATATAAAAAAGCCTGTAAGCAGGCCCTTCCTATAGGCTCACTGGTTGGGCAGCGGTAGCTTACTCCTACCCGAAGTCTGGTCCGGCACGTCCGATAACTCGCTTGGGTAAGGAATTGAATTTACATTACCCAGGCCCCCTACAAAAAAATTTCGTGGGCCTAGTCCGGCCCGGCCCACAAACACCCCCAGAGACAAGACCATTTAAGAGGGGCCTGTTTGAGTTGATCTAGGCCCAATACACTGGCCTAATTGATATTCCCCCAGATGTACGACCTCGACAACAGCTTTTCAAAAGAAAAGAACGAAACCGATACTCTCTCTCTCTCTCTGTTAGTACCATGGAATGACATAGGCAAGATAAGCTTCGCCTGCTGCTTACTGCGTCTTCCTCTTTACTCCCAAAAACCAACGAAAGTTCATAAATCTGGTTGAATTCCAATTCTTCATCAACACACTCGCTGATCTATCTCTCTGTAACTTCAGCTACAATCTCCAAATTTTTCACATGAACCTAACATTCTACATCTGAATTTGACCCCCCCC